TTTTTTAACTTCCACGAGAACAAAGTGAACGGTGTGAACGGGCACCACCAGCCCCCGCACCTGGCGCGCAGCCCCCACCCGCCGCCGCCGGCGTCTCCCCAGCAGCACCAGTACCACCCGGGCCGTCGGAAACGAGAGAATAAAGCCAGCACCTATGGGATGAATTACCTGCTCTCCGGCAGCCGAGGCGTCGCCATCAACAACTCTCCCCACCAGCAGCGGCAGCCGCCCCAGCCAGCACTGCAGAGCCCCGGCACACCCTCGCAGACCGGAAATACAGCCCGGGCGTGCAGGGGTGAGCAGCCGGGGCCCCTGGGGCTGCTGCAGCCCCAGAGGAAAGGGGGACCTCGGCAGCCTCTCCTGCGGCACGGGGGCGGATGGGTTGGGATCACACAAACTCCCCTGGAGCAGGCTGCGGCAGCCAGGTTGATGATAGGGGATGGCAGGGGCACAAAAGCGTTTTCTGTCGTAGATCACCTTGGCCTGTGCCGGCTGGGTGGCTCCTGGCCGAAGCAGTGTTGCAGGCAGGGCCTGGGAATGCATAGATACAGGGGCTTAGGCCTTGCCTTGTAGTAGGTTGAGAGGCGAAGTCGTCAGGCCACTATCAAACGGCACCTGCAATAATTAAAGCAAAGATGGATGGGGGATGCTTGTCAAAGCTCTTAGGGTCAATTCAGATGTAAGGGGGAAGTGGAAGGCTTCAGTTCAGAGGAGCTCAAAGAAAACCCTTGCACTAGTTTTTAAATGCCTCTGCTTAGGCTGTAGCAGACTGGTTACTTTGGGCCGTGTTAGGAACATCAGTTGAAATGGAAGTGCCCAATTCTAGTTGAAATAAGCGTGAAAGGCAATGTGGTCTTAGAACATTTTTGAGGGAAATGTTCTAGCTCGAGAATAGATTGAGCCAGCCAATACCTGAACTGAAATCTTGAACTCTTTTATGAAGGTTATCCTCTTCTGCGGCCGTAACTTTCTCAGATAAATGGGTAGTTAGTAAGGCTGAGTGTTCAGTTTGGTCCGATCGGCATGTAGAAGGGACTAAACTTGAACAAAGCACCTCTGAGGTGCTCCATGAGATTTCTGTATTTCAGCTGTCAAATTTCACTCAGTCAAGGGGAAATGTTGCTTTCTAATGTTAAGGTTATTTTATTCATGGAAAAAGTGCTAGCTGTGTTGATTGACCATAGCAGATTTCTCATGTCATTTCAAAAATAGTTTCTTGGAACTCCTAAAATCCAAGACCCTTGGATGCCCGTGGAGTAAAGGCACTGCATATTTGTAGAGGGAAATAGATAAAGATAACAGGGTACACTTTTTCAGAGCTGGAGAAATTTAAGTGAGAGATTTAACTTAAGGACAGTGTCTTCCTTTTCTCTTTTGGGTGGTACTGTCAGGCGTTGAGTACATTAAAGTTATCCAGAAGTGTTAAAAGATGTTTTTAAAGTTCTGTTTTTGCAAACCATAGCCTCTCCTGAGGAGGACAAGACTTACGGCTACTGCTTTTTAATTCCAAACTGACAGTAAAAATGAAAATTGCTTACAGGAAGTTAAGATTTTGAAGTTTAAGAGGTGACATACGCTAGGAGCTTTGGGACCTGTACTACTAAGATGTATGCCTAAAATTCCAATAGTATCTTAAAAATAGTCTGAATTTCTTTGCTTTATTTCCATAGAGATGCAGTAGAACACTGAGTTGACATTTTAATTTATCTGCGTAAGATAAGTCAGTGTCACTGAGGTAGATCTCCAGGCAGACGGATGAGGGAGTTGCCCGAGGTCACCCAGCAGCTCTATGGCAAACCAGGGAATCGAATCCAGGCACTGCAGGTTCTGTCCTCCTGCTGTTAGGCAGCACCACCTATGCCAATCACATATCCTTATCTTTCATCTTCTGCCCTTTTGCTTTCTGTTGGCTTTCCTTTAGTAAAGGTTATGCCACTTTTCAAGTATAAGTTTATAGAGAATCCGTACGCAAGAAAATTGTTTAGCCAAGCTCCAGTTGCACTTTCAGTTTCATAATACAGGTTGTTCTTTTGCTGATGTGTTAATGACAAGTTCTTGGCTAAATATCTTTGAAAGTGGAAGCTGTGTTTCCTGATCCTTCTGTCAAGGATCTATATTACTACAGTGAGACCTGACGCTAGGAGTGGGACACCAGTAACTATAGCATGTGTTATCCCATAGTTCCAGCTTTCCTTAGAGTAGAGGGGAACTAGTGCTGAAGGAGAGCATGGAAGTTGAAACCATAGACTTAAATATGAGAAGCAGTTTCTGCCTTAAAGTTTGAGTTCTGTTACCCAAGGTGAATCTTGGACAAGCGTGTATTCTAAAAAAATTTTCTGTTTGGTGTTAGAAATTTTTCTATGAAGTACTTACGTGATTGAAATAACAAAAATGTTGTCAATGATGGAGTGGCTTTAGGTGTCTATCTTCTGCAGTAATTCCTGACTACTGGTGCGTTTAACTTAATTTTCCTGAAGCCAGGCTGGTGTATTATTTGGCTGTTCAAATAAAAATGCACTGAAAAGACTGGCATGGGAACAGATCCCTGCAGAAGTTTCTTCTGGATCCTTTACTTTCCTGACTTGTTGCCCAATGTTACTTGGAACTGTCAGCCCAGTCCTGAAGCATCACTTCCATAACTGTGATGGTCTATTGACAGAGCATCTTCAGTGGTGTCAAACTGGTGTACACAACTGTCAAAAAATGTGATCCTTAAAATCTTCAGTTGCAGTCTGCTTTGGACATAGATTATAGGAAGAAGGAATTCATCGTAGATACTCCTATGCTCACATTATGAATGAATGTTAGAGCTTACCCTGCCATGAATATTCTCTGCAGAACATTTTTCTACAACACGCTGAAATTTCCAAGTGATATGCAGTAGCTCACAGTGTTACTGTATTGTCTTTTGGTAACAGGCTAAGGAGGGTAATCTCTGTTTGCCTTCTCCCAGGCTGCAGGAGTACTTCTGTTGAAATGCCTGCATACTTTGAAATAGTACTGTGTTCTCTCCGCTTTCTCCTTCAGAGGTGGAGATGGTCTGTAGTAGTGCAAGTCGTCATCGTTTTTTTCCATATGGATCATATTCAGTGGCTTTGCGATGGTAGCTGTGGTGATGTTTAGGAATGCTTTATGTTGTAAAGGCTGTGTTTTGCTGGTTTATGTACAGCATTCCTTTTTTCCAGTGGACTCATACCTATTGCTTTTACCACCTTCTGGCAGCAGCATGCCAATCTTTGTGTTGTAAAGGAAGTTCTCCCTCTCATAAAACACAAGTGTGAATAGCCATGCTTGATTAGACTAGATAGCCCTAGATTGACCTGTGTCATCCTTTTTCAGATTTTTGGAAGGTAAGGAGTGAGGAGAATGAAGCCATATTTATTCCAATGCTGCAACAGAGTGATTAATACAGCAGCAGTGTAAATTCTTAAATGCCTGGGTTTAGGTTAGGAGTACAGATGATTGGTTTCAGATGCGATGCAGATAAGCGTCCTTTAATATTACAAGATTAGCTCAAACTGTTGTGACTGATGTTCAGAACTACATGTGGTTTCTTGCTACTGTAAAGCATCCTCTCTAGTGGTTTTAAAATACATCTGCATCTTAGGGTCTGCCTTCTTTGTACATCAAAGTAATACCTTCTGTTTCTGTAAAGTCAGTATTTTAAATATATCTGACTAATTCAAGCATCCAGAGAGTTTAAAAGTGTCGGAATTTTGTTTCAAAATATGGAATCAAGTTATTCTAAACTTTTTACTAAGGACTCTACTGCTAGGTTTGCACTGCTTGGGTACACAACTAATAGGGCACTTTCTCTTAAGATGTAGCTAATAGCTTATGAATAATATAAAATAATATCTGATTTAATTATTCTGCTTCTTAATATGAATTTAACAAAGTAAGTAAAGAATTAAGGCATTTTTAACAATATGAGCCTGTTCTGCTTAATACTTTCAACTAAGTATTCAGATTAATTGTAGATGTTGAATGAAATTAGTGCTGAAATACCTGGCATATCTGCTTGGTACAGTGCTGTGCAGAAACAACACAACTGGCTTGTTGAGGATCAGTGTGGATACCAGAAGTGTTATGATACATTGGAATGGTGCTCTGCCTGGACTAATTAGCGTTGCATAGCATCTGATGACTTACTGCATTTATTTTCCCCCCTCCATACCTGTTGTCTTTAACCATCTCTTGATAATGACACAAAAGTTCTGTTGCAGAGCACAAGAGCACAAACACCTCCACATTTGGTTAGGCTGAAGGAGGATTCAGGCCAGCATTGTCTGGTGATCATAGCAGATACCTGGGGAGAGTTTTCGTAAATAAGGTAAGCTTATGACAATGCTTCCCCAGAAGACTTGCTTCAGTGTTCACCAGTTTGCAGCTGAAGGATACTGTGTACCAAAAGTGATGCCCAGAAATTAATTTCTGTAGCTACTCAGATGTGGTGGTGTAACTATATACTAAGTCTATATTAGGTTTTGTTTATTTCTTCACCTGTATGCTGGTGTTTCCAATTCCAGTCTTACTGGGTTTTTTTGCTTTTATGGTATATTGCTGAACTTTGGTGACTAAGATAAATTTAATTACTGGGTTTTGTGCAATGCACTATTAAAAATGCATTGCATTCAGGACCGTCCATAGCTCTAGTTCCATGTTTGTCAACCCTAGCTTCTTATGCTGCTGTCAGAGCTGGACAATGCAAATTAATGTGTAGGGATGCTACATTGTCAGGCCCTTTTGCAATTTTTTTTTTCTTGTACTTTGGCTGAGCTGAAAAAATGCAGACTTTGGAAACTCTGTGAAGCCTTTATTGTTTGCACTGGGGTGTACAGCACTTGTAAGGGCTTTAAGGGATTCCCAAGTGTGGTATTCTAACTCCTCCCTGTACTTAACAGTGCTGTCTTGCTCTATACCTTCTAATAAAGAATCAACACAGTGGGCTATGCTTCATCCACGCTACTATTAAATCATTAGTATCTGTTATCTGCAATGTTAGCTGGATACCTGTAGTGAAGGTCTTAATGTAAGAGGCAGTGCTGGCAATGTACACTCAATTCTTTTTTCATCTGGCTTTAGGATCAGGGCAGAACGAGGCAGTATATACTGTAGTATGCAAGGAGGAGGGTGGGAGTAGTTGCCTGTTAGTCATACTAAGTTTCTGGAGAGAGACTTGAGAGAGCATCGGGACGTGGTTGAACGGATTGTTTTCATGCCTAAAGGCTGGTACGCAGCAGAGTTCAAGGGTAGCTGCTGGATAAATTGTCAAAAGAACAGAACATCTCTTTT